TGATGGGATCAGACCTATTTCAAAGCCCTTGACCCAATTACCCTAGCAGAAATCCTCTGCTACTCAGAGAGCTTTCAAAGTGGCAGGAACCAGCTGTTGTTTAAGGAGGAAGGAGGGGTGGAACTGTGTTTCAAGAGAGCGTTTAAAGGGCCATTATCAAAGTAAGTCAGCATTTTAAAGCACTTCCCCAGGTTTGTAATGACAGCCTACATTTCATAAGCCAAAATAAAATTTAAAACCAAGTTCCTTTTGTCCAGCATCCCCTGCTCTCTGGGCCCTTTGGGCTTGGCTAGGAAAACAACATTCTTTGAGCTTAGAATCTGACTCTCTTCCTCGGGCCAAGCACTGTTTGGCTTTGGATTTCGGGCAGGTTGGAGGAGGGGGTGGCCAAAGGGGAGGGAAAAGAAGGGTCTCTCTTGGAAATTTCCTAATAGATTTTGTTTTGAAGTTAAGGTCAGGCAACCTCCATCCCCATCACCCCCTCCCCCACCCTGAGGCTTCTGTTTGACAGTGTCTCTTTGAAGGGAGGGAAAGCAATGGGAGCCTGGGGAAGCAGTCTGGGTAGGGCTTTGGATTTTAAATGGGATCCTCTTCTAGGAAAAACAGTTGGCAACAGCTGTGTGCAGGTAACCCTCATTCCATGACATAGATGTGGTCCAGAAAATTGGGTCTTAAAAAAAAAAGAAAAGAAAAATTGGGTCTTAGATGAATCTTGATTTCCCCTCCACTTGAATGATAAAACTGGCAATGCATTCCCATAGGAAAATTCTCTGACTGACTTTGGGTGAGAAAAGGGTTAAGGAGCACCATGGAAAGAGCCCTGGGATAGGAGTAAGGAGACCTGGGCCTGGGCCTGCCATTGACTAGCTATGAGACCTGGAAGAAATCATTTAACTGAGGGTCTCAGTTTTCTCATCTGTAAAATGGAGATGTTGAACTAGATGGCCCCTCAGGGTCCCTCCAGCTCTATGACTATGATTCTATGACCTCTGAGTCTTCTTATAGGATCTTTTCCCCCCAAAGGATAAAATGTAAAGTCTGTAGCCTGGTTTTTTAAGTCCTCCATGATCTGGCTCTAAACTACCTTTTCTGTTTTGTTTCACTTTACTTATCCGGATGGACTCTATGTTCCAGTCAAACTCATCCCTCCTTCTCCTAACTTTATGCAGACCATTGCTCAGGCCAACAATATACTCACTCTTATAGAAATCTTCTTCACTCAAGTTCCAACCCAGGTGCCACTTCCTCTCTGAAGCCTTGCCTATCACTACCACCCATACACCCACACACTGAAGTGAAAGCGTTTTCTCCCTCCTCAGATTTTTTTTAATCTCTCCTTTGCCTACATTATCTTCTACTTTGTACCATATTTAATGCGTGCATGTCATTTTCCCTCCAATACAGTGGAGTGTAAGTTCCTTGAGGGCAGATCTCTTGTTATTATTTTTTATCTTTGTCTTCCCAGTTGTGAATATTGTGTTTCCCCATTAGACTGTGAACCCTCAAGGGAAGAATCATCTTTGGCCTTCCTTTTACATCCCTTGGTGCTTAATACGGTGTCTGGTATGTGAAAGGCACTTCAATGCTTATTGGCTGACTGACTGACTCAATATCTACCACCGGGCTTAATATGTTGGCCTAATAAATATTTGTTGAATTTAATTGGTGAAGGAACAGAGAGGTGTAATTTTTGCTATTGTGATTAGACAAACATAGTACATTCATGTGGCTGCCTGTTGGACTGTAAGCTTCTTGAGGATAAGGACTATGTCATAAAATCAAAGAATGGCAGAACCAGAACCCATCTCAGAATTCATCTCATTTAATCCCTTCATTGGTAACTCGGGCCTATAGAGGGGAAATTACTTAGCCAGGATCGAAGTAGGCCAGGATTTGAACCATTTGAGTACTAGGCCACCACAGTTCCTGCCTTACTCATCTCTGCAGCTCCTGCACCAAGCATAGTGCCTTGTACAGGCAGGCAATATGTATTTATTAGGTGTTTACTATATGCCAGGTGCTGTGCTAAGCACTGGGGATATAAGCAAAAAGAAAGGTAATCCCTGCCCTCCTGGAGCTTACATTCTAATTTAGGGAGACATAAAAGGCAGCCTGAAAAAAGGAAGTCCCAGCATAAGAGGGCAAAGGAGTCAAGGTGTCCAAGTTGTGAGATTGGGAAGCTCAGCCAGGAGGGGGATGAAGTGTGGCCAACCTGAGTTCATCTCCCAAATGGAGGCCATTTGGAGGAGGCATGGAGGACTGAATCTGTGATTTCCAGCATGGAGGGAACTTATGATGAGGAACCTCCCATCCCTGAGGCAGATAAGTGGTACCTGTCTTAAGGAAGCTACCTGGAGAACTTGCCTATGGGACAGAGCCAGTGTGTGTCAGAGGGACAAGTTGGACCCCACCATTGACTCAGAGACCAGCTCTCTATTCACCAATCTTTGGCAGCCTCTTTGCCTTGCCTTGTACCTAGTACTAGGTACTATCTCAGGACTATCTCATTGATAGGGAACTTGCAGATGAACAAAATCCCTTGACCAATGCAAATTAGCATTAATCCCTGGCAGTTTAGGCTTGGAGAATTGCCTGAAGTACCAGAAGACAAAATGACTTCCCTAGGGTAACACAGTCAGTATGACTTGAGTTAGCAGGACTCAAATCCAGGTCTTCCTTACTCTAAGGTCGGTTTCCTATCCATATGGCACACTGCACAGAGCAATTATTTACTAAATAAGTGTTTGTTTAATTGAATTGTTAAAGCAACAGAGACTGAAGTGCCCCCTGCTTGGGTAGCATCTTTAAAGACCATCCAGGCCAACGGAAGCCTCTCCGCCATCACTTTTACCAGATGTTGGACCAAGTCTCTTGAGTTCCCGGCAACTGGGAGAGGTGCACAGGCAATTTTGGAGCTAAAATTAAAGCTGTGAATTTTGGCTTTTCCCCATTTTTGTGGGGGAAGAAAATGAGTTTTTGTGGCACAGTTTGGTTGGCAGGTTTCTTAGAGCCACAAGAGCTGAATGGACATTGCTCTGTGCTTTATTGGAACAGAAGCCTCCAGGCCAGCGGAGGGTCTGCCCACGGCAACACCCAGACAGCGGGTCAGGTCAGTCCACTGGGATAGTCAGTCAGTGGAACAAGCAAGAAACTGAACTTTTCACTTTTTAGCAGAAGGCTCCAGACTCTCTTATGCCCAGGCAGAGGAGCCCCTGCCATTGCCTTATGCAGCTTTCTAAGACTGCCAATATGTAACTAAAAAGAAAAAAGGCTTAACCCTTAAGGGAAAGAAGCCAGGTTTCCCGCTTTTTTCTCTTGCTATGTAGCAGGTACTGACTAACTCCTCTGTCCCAGATGCCCAGAGGTCACTGTTTAGGGGACACACTGAGCCTGTTGGGTAAAAGAAAATCCTATTTGTGTCAGCATGTCTGTGACCACATAGTAGCTGGGCCACTGTGCTCTTCAGAGTTCTCAGAGATGGGTATGAAAATCACACTCATCAAAGGGAAGGGATAAGACCAAGGTTGACTTGATCACTAGCTCCATTTTACAGATGAGTAAGTAGAGGCTAGGCAAGGGAAAGGGACTGAGCAGAGGAAGAGTCCAGAGAGGGATCTGGAGGGCCTGTGACCTTCTACTGCCCTTGACAGTTTGAGAGGAAGAAACAGATTGGGAAGGACAGGATTTGAATCTGCTTTGCTATGAGAAGAAGCTTAGTTTGCTAAAACCTGATTAGACAAAGGAGAATTCCCTGCTGTTGGAAAAAATGGATTGGGAAAAGGCCGATGGCCCAGTTGCTACCTGTAACTTGAGAGGGAGAAACTCCTGCTCAGAGCCACAAAGCAGATGTGAAGTATTTGGCAATTCTCTGGCTTAAGGGTACTACCTGTTACTGAAGAAGCATAACATTTTCTCAGCATTCTGCCAAGGGTGGCTGTGTGCTAAAAGAGCTTTTGTTTTGGTTTGGTTTTTTTTTACTGCTTCAGCAGCCTGAGAATAGCAGAAAATCAGCTTTGCCCAGGGAGTTAATAGTAGAGGAACAGATTTGCCTAGCAGGCAACACACAGTACAAACTGTTCTCTGATGAACGTACCAGACATGCAAATTGTCCCCTGGCAAATGAGTTTGCCTATTCATGTACCTCTCTGCTAGATTTCTGTAAATATATGCACCATCCCTCCCATGAACACTGTGTGCACTGCTAGGAGAGTATGACCCAGGTTTCTGAGTATACTTTTATATCTTAATTATTCCTGTTCTTACCTTCTATCGAGTAAATGTTAAATTATTTCTGCTCTTATCTCCAGTTGGGTAAAGGTTATGGTTATTTCTGCTTTTGCCTTATTGTTAAGTAAATGTTTCATGTTTAAGAGACAATGGTGTCACTGTGCCTCATTTTATCCAAATAGGAAATATATCAATTGGGGGTTTAGTAGCTATGATGGTTAGAAGTAGAAATGTTTCCCTCTCTGCATACACACCAGGATTACCTCTAAAACCCTGGGAGTTGTGGTAGAGTAGCCAACCTTCTAGGGACACCATCCCTACCTATCAAAGTGAGTGCAGGTGAGGGAGCCAATCAAGCCCAAAGAGAAAAAGAGGGCCTCAGTAGAGTCAGGGTTCAGTGCCAAGACTAAGCTACCTATAGATAGACAATTTATAGGGCTATAACTTGGTCATAATGTACAACTGGACTTAATTCTTTGTACAACGGGGAGCCATTGAAGGTTTGGGAGGAGGTTAGTGGTTCAATCAGGGCTATGCGTTAAAACGATGATTCTGCTAGCATGCACAAGCTGCATCGACTTTTGAAGGTTACTCTCAGAAAACTCTAGGATTCTAAGGTTCTTTCTTTGAAAAGTTAACTGAAATAGGAGAAGAAAGGTCATGTTATTTATAAGGAACAAAGCCTAGGTCAATGAACAGGACCCAAAGGTATGTCTGCTGTTGCTTGGGTTTCTTTTTCTCCTTTTCATTCTTCCTCATTATTCATTTTAAAGGACACAGAGACTCTGGCCTAGGTACCCCAGAGGCCACATCACCAGAATCCAGCCAAGCCAACTTGCTGACTAATGGAATTAATTCTCTCTGTTCCATCTGTGGGGACCGTGCTACAGGGAAACACTATGGTGCATCCAGCTGTGATGGGTGCAAAGGATTCTTCCGGAGGAGCGTCCGCAAGAACCACGTCTATTCTTGCAGGTACTGATAACAGCATCATGGGCTCTTAAAGTTGGAAGGGACCTCAAAAGCTATCTGGTCCCACTCACCACCCAGTACAGGAGCTGCCCAGGCAGACAGTTTTCCAGCCTTTTCTGAAATAACTCCATAATTCTGGTTGTAAGATCTTCCTTTAATTGAACTAAAATTAAAATGTGAGTTTCTTGAGGGCAGGGACCACACATTTGCCTTCCTTTGAATTCCCAGCCCTTGATACAGCGCCTGGAACACAGTAAGTGCTTAATAAATGCTTACTGACTGACTGATTAAAATCTCCAATTCCCCCCTCCCCCATCTCCCATACTCCCATCGGTCCCAATTCTCTCCAATCAGTTACCAAATCTTGTCATTTCCGCCTTCACATACTATGCCTTCTCTCAATTTAGATAGCTCCCACTTTCCTTCAGGTTCTCATCACCTCCCTCCTTGGTTATTATAGCAGCTTCCATCTTTCTGCCTCAGATTTCTCCCCACTCCAATTCATCCTATGCACTACCACCAAATAATTTTCTTATACACGGCTCTCATCATATGATACCCCTGCTCAATCAATTAGCTCTCTATTGGCTTTGTAGCAAAATGTAAACTCCTCTGTCTAGCTGGCCAGGCAGGAGGGGGCTGGCAAGATGAATCATGGCTATGCCTTGGAGAATGGCTTTTCTTAACAAACGATCTGTTTCCTCTTTAGGAAAAAGGACTAACCAAAGAGTTTGCTTAACTATTTGGGCTGGGTTCACACAGTGCCACAAAAACCAAAGATTTTGTTGCTACTGTTTGTTGTTCTGTGAATAAATGACTGTATGGGGGGGGGGAACATTTATTAAGCTCTTACTATGTATCTACTATGTACGAAAAAGTGTACTAAGAGCTGGGGATACAAACTGAAAAATAAGACAATCCTTGGTCTCAAGTAGCTCACATTTTGATGAGGAAAATATGGAATATTTCAGCTGCAAGTCAGATGGAAAAGTCCCATGGTCCTCAGACTGCAGGGACAAGGCAGATGGAATGCTTCTTCTTTTCATTTTCCACTGATAAAAATGATCTCAGTTTCTGTTGTAGAACCATTTGACAGTGGAAGGACTTGGGCGGGGGCTGGAGGGGACGGGGCAAGAACTCCCCTTTCTGTAGCTGAGGCTAGAGTAACTGCAGGAGCAGTTGCCAGGCTCCATTGCCATGGAGATTGCTTCCCAGGATATGGACTATGGGCACTGGGCTGGAAGCATTGTTATTCATGAGGCTCTTGGGCTCAGGTCCTAGGCTGTCTCCATCAGAGTCTAAGGGGAATTGGTGGTCAAGGTGGTGATGGTGGTTGGACTTGCCTGGCATATGCTGCCTCCTGTCTCCCCCTAAATGAGCCCAGCTGCTTCAGCTTGGCTGGCTTGCCTGCCACATGAGTGACAGTTGATTGGCAGTTAGTGGGCACAGCTGACCCCCTCTCTACAAAAGTTTCTTCCCCGAATGATGGCCGTGAGGGCTGACCTGGAAGAAGGACTGGTGGTCTGGGGCCAGGAGGTTGGATGTTAGTCACGTGCTACCACTCCCAGTACTCCTCTGCTTATTTGCCTTTTGGGAGAAAATGGACAGTAGTTGTCGCTGCAGGTGGTGATGAGGAAGATGGGCCCTTCTCCACAATGATTTCCCCCTTCAATGGAACTGGGTTAGAAACAGGTCTGGTGATTTGGGGGATACTGCTAATCCCAAGGCTCTGGGGTTCAGGGTCCTGAGCTATCTCCATCAGGACTTGAGAAGACATAGTGATCAAGGTTGTGATGGGGGTCTGATGTGCTTGTCATATGCTACCTCTAGTCTTTCCCTCAGGGGGCCTTTCTGTTTCAACAAGGCCGGCTTGACAACCTTTAACAGCAAGTACGTATCGTCCAGGATAAACTGAAACTTTCATCTGTGCTTGTTAACTGTAGGCTTCTTAAGGGTGAGAGCCACATTTGGTCCTTCTTTGTATTACCATAGTGCCTTGGCACACAGCAAGTGTCCCAACAGCGCTTATAGAATTACTGAATGGCTAGATGGATGGGTGAAATGGTTGGATTCACTTGCTTAGTGTCAGGGGTTTAGGTTTCCTTACCCAATTCAGAACAAGCCAAGAATCTGAAGAAGTCGCCTGGGTGGCTTTGTAAATAAATCTAACAATGACTATTAGCCAACCAATGGCTATGAAGCCAACATGCTTGTGCCAGGTTCACAGGGTCACAGATCTAGACCTGAAAAGGACTTCAGAGACCTCTGGCCCAACCCCTTCATTTATCGATGAAGAAACTGAGGCCCAGAGAGGCTAAATAACACATAAAGTCACCTAGATCCTCTGACCTCAGAGTCAATGCCCTTTTCACATATCATTGCCTCCTTAATCAGAGAAACTTACTTGTGGATTCATGACTTTATTGTTGTGGGCACCTCCTCTACCAACACAGATCCCGCAGATAAACAGATTGTGGTGCATGAATGTCAAGCGGGTCCTAGGAAGCATTGCTAACAACAAGGCTACTGAGGGGAAGGAAACCCAGCTGAGCTATTTCAAACCCTAAAAGACAATGATGTTAAAGTGCCGCACTCAGTATGCCAACAAATTTGGAAAACACAACAGTGGCCACTGGATTGGAAAATACCAGTTTATGCCCCACTCCTAAAGAAAGGCAATGCCAAAGAATGTTCAAATTACCAAACAATTGCGCTCATTTTACATGACAGCAAGGTTATACTTAAGATTCTGCAGGCTAGGCTTCAGCAACATGTGAACCGAGAACTACCAGAAGCACAGGCTGGTTTTCAATGAGGCAGAGGAACTAGAGACCAAATTGCCAATATTCACTGGTTTGTGAAGAAAGCGAGGGAGTTCCAGGAAAAAAAGTCTATTTCTGCTTCATTGACTACACTAAAGCCTTTAACTTGTGGATCACATCAAAATGTGACAAGTCCTCAAAGAGAGAGGAGTACCAGATCATCTCACTTGTCTCTTAAGGAACCTGTATGTGGGTCAAGAAGCAACAGAGCTGAACATGGAACCACTGATTGGTCTAGGATTGGGAAAGGAGTATGACAAGGCTCTATGGGGTCTCCTTATTTATTTAACTTCTATGCAGAGTACACCATGTGAAATGCCAGGCTGGATGAATCGAGAGCTGGAATTAAGGTTACTGAGAGAAATATCAACCATCTCAGATGTGCAGATGTTACCACTCAGATGGCAGAAAGTAAAAAGGAATTAAAAAGCCTATTAATGAGGGTAAAAGAGGAGAGTATAAATTCTGGCTTGAAGCTTAACACACACACACACACACACACACAACAACAACAACAACAACAACAACAACAACAAAACCAGTATCTTGGCAACTCATCCTATCACTTCCTGGCAAATAGAGGGAGAAGAAATGGAAGCAGTGTCAGATTTTACATTCTTGGGCTCTAAGATCACTGTAGACGGTGACTGCAGCCATGAAATTAAAAGACTCTTGCTCCTTGGAAGGAAAGCTATGGCAAGTCTGGACAGCGTACTAAAAAGCAGAGATATCACCTTGTCAACAAAGGTCTGTATAGTCAAAGCTATGGTTTTTCTAGTAGCAATGTATGGCTATGAGAGTTGGATTATAAGGAAAGGTGAGCACCGCAGAGCCAACACTTTCCAATTATGGTGCTAGGGAAGACTTTTGAGAGTCCCTTGGGTAGCAAGGAGATCAGATTAGTCAATACTTAAAGAACGTAATTCAGGCTATTCACTGGCATGGTGGATAGAGTGCTGGGCCTGGAATCAGAAAGACTTGAGTTCAAATCTGGCCTCAGACACTAGCTGTATGACTGGGCAAGTCACTTAACCCTGTTTGCCTCGGTTTCTTCATCTATAAAATGAGCTGGAGGAAGAAATGGCAAACCACTCCAATATCTTTGTCAAGAAAATCCCAAAAGGGGACACAAAGAGTTAAAACCAATTGAAAATGGTATCACCCCTATATGATGTAAACTTGTTGAGGGGAAGGACTATTGTTCATTTTTTCTTTGTTACTCGAGCTTATGGCACGTAGTAAGTAATTAACAAGCAGCATGATATAGTGGATAGAATATTGAGCTCAGAGTCAGAAAGCACTAGGTTCAAATCCTACCTCTGCTAATTTACAACTTCTATGACGATGGGCAATTAATCAACAAGTATTAAACACCTACTGTGCACCAGGGACTCTGCTAGGGGATACATTTATAAAGAATGAAACAATCCCTACTCACAAGGAGCTGACATTCTAATGAGGGAGATGTGTGTGTATGTGTGTGTAATGTATATATACATATAGTATAGATATAAAGTTAATAAATACAAATATATACAGAATAGCTTAATACAAGGTAGTTTGGGAGGGAAGGCACCAGCAGTTGAGGGGTATAGGAAAGGCTTCATACAGAAAATGGTGCTTAAGCTAGAAGGGAAACTTGAAAGGAAGGGAGGGACTGTATGAAGTGAAGGGAATGAAGGAATGCATTCCGGCATGCAGGAAAGCCAGTGCAAAGGTGGGAGATTGAGGGTTGTGTGTGAAGATCAGAGAGAACACCATTTGTCTGGATCACAGAGTCCAAGAAGGAGCGTAATGGCCAATGAAGCTGGAAAAATAAACATGTAAGTGCCTTGTTGTATAGTACTTTAAAATCTAGATGAAGGAGATTATAGTTCATTATGGAGGTAATAGGAAAACAATGGAGTTGACTGAGTAAGGGAACAGCATGATGAGAGCTATACTTTAGGTAAATTATTTGGCAGCAGAGTATAGAATGGACTGAACTGAGGAGAGACTTGAGGCAGGAAAGCCAAGGAAAAGGATGATGACTTAAACTAACATGGTAGCTGTGTAAGTGACAAAAAGGGATGGGATACAAGTGATACTGTGAAGGAATAAATGTCAAGATTTGGCAACTGACTGAAGATGGCTGGTGAGGGTTTACGAGAACTCCAGGATAGCACTGAAGTTAGAGACCTGGGAGGTCGGAAGAATGGTGGTACTTTCAACAGAAGTAGGGAAGTTTAGAAAAAAGGAAGGGCTTTTTGGGGGGAGAGGGGAGAAGTTGATGAGTTTAGTGTTAGACGTGTTGAGTTTAAGATCTTTCTGGGATTTCCAGTTTGAAATATCCAAGGGTCTGTTGAATAGACCAACGGGTGATGTGGATCCGAAGCTCGGGGTAGAGACTGGGGCTGGATATGCCTCTTGAATCTTCGTCTTTTGTCCTTTCCAGCTCTAACCCTATGATTTTATGATAGTAAATGTATGTTGGATCAGATAGGAAAGAGAGCCCCTCTTAGATATTTCAGGATGGGTGTATTTTTGAAGGATACTTAACAGATGACAAACCATTAACAAAAGCCATCATCCTGAATAACCTCAGAAAGATGGGGAAACAATACAGACATTTGGGAGAGGGTCTTGGGGTGTGATTTCATCAGTGTAGAAACCACCTTTTCTGATGCAAACCAGTACCTCACCTGCAACTTAGAGACTCAGAGGGTGGGCCGGGGGCACTTGCCCAGGGGTCACACTATTAGTATGTTAGAGGGAAGATTTAAACAAGGTCTTCATGACGCCGAGAAGAGTCCTCTAACCATGCTGCCCTTCACTGAAGGCATCCCATCATGTATTTCTAATAGGTCTTGGGAGTTCCTGGCATACAATGGTGCCATTCTTAATGTGGTTAGAACTAACAGAAGACTCTGCTTTGCAGACTATTGGCAAAGGTCTGCATTTTGAACTTGGCCAACTTTGCTTTACGTGTCTATAGCGGTGTAAAGAATATAGCCAAGGAGAGAAAAGAAATTTTTGTTAGTTGCAAACAAATAATTTCTTTAATGTAACCAAGCCAATGGAATACTGTCATCTCTATGGGGGTTGCTTTGCTTCTGTAGGCAAATTTTATGTTTCTCAGTGACTTTTGTGGTTTCCAGAGCTGCCGCCATGGGCTGCTCTTTTAGGCTCTACCACATACCAAAGTCAGAGTCTGTAGAGGCAGGACCAACAAATAAATGGCTTCTTCCCCCCATCCCCATTTTACAGAGTAAAATTTTTAACTTTCTTTTAACTTCTCTGTTACTATTGGGAACACCACCATCCTTCCAGTCTCCCTGGTTCACAACCTTGGTGTCCTTGTCTCCTCACTCTTCTTCATTCCACATTTCTAATCACTCACCAAATCGTGACCTTTCTACCTCTATGGCTTCTCTCACACTCATCCTCTTCTACACACACTCACACAGCCATCAGTATGGTTCAGATTGTTCAGATGGTTCAGACACCGCCTCTCATCTGGGCTTGCTATTGCAAGCCTCTTAAGTGGACCCCCTGTCCTAAGTCTCTCTCCTTTTTTAATTTATTCTCCTCATAGCTACCAGTGATCTCCCTAAAGCATAGGTCTGATCATGTCATCACATCATCACCATTGCCGTCATCATCCTCACCATCGTCATCATCATCATCTTTATATAATGATCTAAGACACAGTAGTTTACAAATATTATCTCATTTTATCCTCACAACAACTCTGGGAGGCTGTTCTTGCTCATTCATTCAATCATGTCCAATCTTCATGACCCCCAGGACCATAGCACACCAGTCCCTTCTCTCCTCCCCTATCTCTTGGAAGTCTAGCCAAGCTTATGTTTGTTGCTTCCATGACACTATCTATCCACCTTGCCCTCTGCTGTCCCCTTCTCCATTTGCCTTCAATTTTGCCCAACATCAGGGTGTTTTCCAACGAGTTCTGTCTTTTCATTATGTGGCCACATTATTTAAGCTTTGGCTTCAGTATTTGTCTTTCCAATGAGTAGCCTGAATTAATTTCTTTAAATATTGACTTTTCATGTCCTTGCTGTCCAAGGGACACTCAAAAGTATTCTCCAGCACCACAGTCAAAGGGTGGGAGGTAGGTCTCTTATTATCTCCATTTTACAGATGAGGAAACTGAGGCACAGCGAGGTTAAAGTGATTTGTTCAGTGTCACACATCTAGGAAGTGTTTAAGGCATGATTTGAAATCAGGTCTCCCTGATGCCAGGTCCAGTGCCCTATCCACTTCCCCACTTGGCTACCTACTCAATAAGTTGTAGTGGTTCTTCTATGATAAAATATAAACTTCTCTATTTGGACATTCAAAGTTCTTCCCAAAGTGGTCCAATCTTGCCTTTCTAGCATATTTACTTAACATTCACCTTATCATGCTCTACAATCTAGTCAAACTGGCTTTCTTTCTTTTTGGGGGGGGGGGCTAGGCAGTGGGGTTAAATGACTTGCCCAGGGTCACACAGCTAGTAAGTGTTATGTGTCTGAGGCCAGATTTGAACTCAGGTCCTCCTGACTCCAGGGCCAGTGCTCTATCCACTGCACTACCTAGCTGCCCCCAAATTGGCTTTCTTAACAATTCCTTATGTATTCCTCCATTTCCTACCTCAGGGCCTTTGCATTCACTGTCTCTCATACCTGGAATACCCTCCCTCCTTACTTTTAGAAACTTTAGCTTCCTTTAATACTCAGTTCAAGTAACACCTTCATTATGAGGCCTTTCTCAAATCCCACCCCTGTAAGATTTTTTTGATCTTGCATATAGTTTAAAAGTATACCTATGTATTTACACGTTTATTTCTCCTTCAAAGCACCTCCTAAGGAATGCAGGCTTCTTGAGAACAAGGACTGTCACTTTTGCCTTTGTACACCTAGAGTCTGGCACATTGTGGGTCCAGCTTTATTGGAAAGAGCAAGAAATTGAGACTCAGTGAAGGAAGTGACTTGTCCAAGATCATGCACGTCAACATCACAATCAGGACTTGAACTCAGACCTCTTGTCTCTTGGTCTAGGGTTCATTCCACATTGCCTCTGTCCTATTCTCCTTTAACTCCCCTACAATCCCTGAAAAGAATTCACACTTCCTGCTTAAAATCTTTAGCTTCCTTCAAGGTTTAACTCAGGGCCACCTCCTACCAAAAACTCCTGGTTGTTAGGGTTCTTTCCCTCCTCAAATTATTTGTATATGTTTAGCCATTTAAATGTCGTGCATGTATGAGTGTACACATGCACACGTACACACATGTTCCAATACACACACCCAGGAGAATGTAAGTCCCTTGAGAGTAGGGTGTGTCTCACTATATTCCACCTCCTTCCCCTCCAGTCCTTAGTACATAAACCAGTGTGTCAATGTGTCGATCTTGTCAAGTGCAAACCCTATAGTCTTAGAGAGCTGTGTGAGGCTCAGAGAAGGTAGGACCTGCCTATTGTCCCGCAGCTACTATGTATCAAAGGCATGACCAGAACTCAGGTCTTCTTGACTTGAAGTCCAATGCTTCATCGAGTGCATGTTGATTCGTTTGAAAATGGTAGGCACTGAATAAATCTTGGTTGAATTCAATTGTATTACAAGTGTATACGGCATACAGGAAATGTATACTTAGAACACAGTAGATAGAGCACAGGATTTCGAATCTGAAAGACCCAAATTCAAAAACCTCAATCTGCCTCAGTTTTCTCATCTCTAAAATGGGGATAATTAATAGCACCTACAAGGCTGTGGGCACTGAGAATCCAAAGTCCCTGGTAACCAGTCAAGCTTCCCAGTCCTTATGGTTGTGAGGAGCATGATCTCAGAAGACAGGCTGCCCGCTTAGAGAAGCCACCTCAGGGAAAATCAGTAACTTTCTCCTCCTCTTTCCCTTCAGGTTTAACAGACAGTGTGTAATTGACAAAGACAAGAGGAATCAATGCAGGTATTGTCGATTGAGGAAATGTTTTAGAGCGGGAATGAAGAAAGAAGGTGGGTCTAAAATTCTGTTCTTTCCATTTCCTAGGCTTTGTGATGTCCAAGATCCTAATGCTGCTTAAATTGCCCTTGTAATTCAATGTTTACCTAGTATTTAAACACCTAGTGCATCAAGATCCAGCCTCAAAGCCAGAAAGACCTGGGGGCAAATCCTGCCTCTGACCCATATTGGTTGTTACCTTGAGCAAGTTATCTAACCCCTCAATTCTTGACAATTCTTGACAGACAATTCTTGAAGTCTATGAATTGCTGAGGAAGGTGGCAATCTGCATTGGTAAATGGCGTTTCCTCACCTGGGAGTTCCCTATACCAATGAAGTCAGAAGTCCAGTCCAGTCCTCATCCCTAATGTGCTCATGGTTTCATTCTAAGCACTATGGGTCACTGCCACACCAGAGATCCTTAAATCCCTGATTGCAAGAACACAATTTATTAGGGAAAATAGGACATGTAACCCACAGCCCAGAACCCCAAGTTCTGATTTTTTTAATACCAAATCTGCAATGTCATCTGTATAAAGAACTCCCAGGTAAAGAAAACCTCTCTGCCAATACAAGTTGGCAACTCCGCTTCAACTTATGGTTTTAAAAAATTGTACAGGACACTGAAAAATTAGCCTGCCCAAGCTCACCCAGGCAGTAAGTATCAGTGGCAGAAATTCACTCTCTAGCCACTATGGTAGTTCAATGTCCAAGGGGTGCTCCACCCAAATCATCTCTGTAACTGAGCCTCTTCCCTTCTATAGGCTCTGCCCAAAGTGGTGACTCCAACCCAAAATAACTCAGGTCAATGAATTGATCCTCAGTGCATGAGAAGTAAGGAGACATCCTCATCCTCAGTGAAATATAACTGAGCATGCCCAGTTGTTGTCCCTTGGTCCTCTCAACCAATGTTTTGTAGGCAGGTCCACACCCTCCATAGGAGAATGCAATCCAAAATCCCAAGCAAAATTTATTACCTGTGAGTTCATCAAGCTGAAAGAACATGAGCTTCCACAGGCCAGTGGATAGAGCTCTGGGCCCAGAATCAGGAAGACCTGAGGTCAAATCCAACCTCAGATACTTACTGGCTGTGTGAGCCTGGGCAAATCACTTAACTACTTTGTGCCTCAGTTTCCTCATCTGTAAAATGGAGATAATAATAACACCTACCTTTCAGGGTTGTTGTGAGGATCAAATAATATTTATAAAGTGCTTTGCAGACCTGAAAATACTATGAAAATGCTAGCTATTGTTAATTTTTTTTGATTTTGTATGCCCAGCACCTAGTAGGTATTTAGTAAATGCTTGTTGGTTGATTAATTGATTGATCAACTCGCTACCAATATATGTATAAGAAAAAATTTGGCAGTCAGAGGATCTGGGTTTGAATCTCACCTCTCACCATGAACAAATCATTTTTCTTCTTGGGGGAAATCAGAACGTTTTGCTAGGCTGAGTTCTTGGGTTCTTCCTAGCTCTATGATCCAACCACTCTGATGAAATATCTGACAGAACAAGTCAGTGGATGAACAGGGCCAAGTAAGAGCCTTAGAAAATGAGATGGTGGCACAGTGGATAGAGCACTGACCCTGAAGTCAAGAGGACCTGAGTTCAAATCTGGCCTCAGACCAAATACTTGACACTTACTAGCCGTGTGACCCTGGGCAAGTCACTTAACCCCAAATGCCTTAAAAAAAAAAAAGAAAATGAGAGTGGGAGAGATTACTGTCAGCTGGGATGATCTGTGAAGGTGTCAGGGAAAACATGGGGAGCAGAATTGGTATTCAAAGAGGGAGAAGACATAAATAGGAGGAGAGAAGAAGCCAAGACATTGGGGTAGGGGCAATGACGTGCTCCAAATGGAGCATGTGCTGGAGAGTTAGCAATCTGACTGGTTGGAGGATTCTTGTAGGGGTGGCAGGAAAGGTCATTGGGGTTAGGCTGCAGAGAGTCTGAAATCATAGGTTCAAGAGTTTGTAATTTATATAATTGGGCAACTAGGTGGTCCGATGAGTAGAGTGATGGGCCTGGAGTTAGGAAGACTCCTTGAGTTCAAATCTGGCCTCAGATATTTACTAACTGCATGACCCCGTTTGCCCGAGTTTCCTCATCTGTAAAATGAGCTGGAGAAAAAAATGGCAAACCACTCCAGTATCTCTGCCAAGAAAACCCCAAATGGGATCAAAAGAGTCAGATATGACTGAAAAATGACTCACCAACAATAAATTTATATAACATAATTAATAATAACAACAACTAGTATTTTCATAGTACTTTAAGGTTTGCAAAGCACTTCACAATTATTAGCTCACTTGGTACTCACAACAACCCTGGGAGGTAGGTGCTATCACTATCCTCCTTTTTCAGATGAGGAAACTGAGGCAAATAAAGGTTAAGCGTCTTGTCCAGGGTCACACAGCTAGTAAGTGTGTCTGAGACGGGATTTGAAAGGGAGATACATTAGTGTTCCTTGAGAAGGAAAGAGCCATACTCTAGAAAGTTTAATTTGGTAGTGGTGAGCAAGACGGATTTTTTTTTCTCTTTTTGTTTTTGCATCCTCAGTTCCTAGCACAATAGTCTTGCATACAGCACTTAATAGATATTTATTGGCTTAACATTGACATTATCCTAGATTTAGAACTTGAAAGAACCTCAGAGTCCATTTCCCCCTCATTTTACAGATGTGGAAACTGAGGCTCAGCATGGTTAAGAGGCTTGCCCAAGCTCACATAGCTAGTAAGGATCACAAGTGGGATTTGAACCCAGGCCTTCTGACTCCACAAGCCTCTTTCCACAGGATGGATTAGTTTAGAAGGGGTGGAGACCAAAGGCTATTTCAATAGTCCAGATGCAAAATGATAAGGGCCTGAATTAGGGTCATGGTAGAAGGAAGATACAGATGGGAGAGACATTGTGGAGAAAGAATCCACCCAACTTGGTGACTGGAATATGGAAGATGAAGGAGAAGGATAACTCAGGGCTTAAAGTGTGGGTGATTCATCCAATGATGGTGCCATGAAAAGCTGATAATGAAGGAGAGGAAAGAGAAGGGGGCTTTAGTCTTCATGACTCACTAGTGTGTTGTGTCAAACCCACTGTTTGGAGAATAATCATCGAGGGTCCTGGGGGAATTTTTTGAGGCTAGGAAGGGAGGAGAAGCAGGCAATTGAGAAATATGTAGGTTGTGGAAAAACAGCAAATGTGGCAGTGGGAACAAGGGAATGTTGGCCTGGAAAGAAAAGCTGCTTAGGTTGGTGTTTTCCTGACTGGTGCCTCATGGCAAGGCCACAGGCAACTACAGGCTCCTCAGTGGGCCACAGTAAATGGGCATTCAGCAGTTCCAGCTGCCTCAGAGTCCCAGACATGGCTGAGCCACAGCAAAGTGGTCTAGGAGACCAAGATTGAAGTTCCCAGAATCCTCTTTCCTTCCTGATTGTACCCCCTCCCCTTAGCATCTCTCTCTCTCTCTCTTTCTCTCTCTGTGTGTGTCTCTGTCTGTCTCTCTCTGTCTCTGTCTCTCTCTGTCTCTCTCTGTCTTTCTTGCTGTCTCTCTGTCTCTATCTCCATCTCTGTCTCTCTCTCTCTCCCCCTATTCCTCCCCCCAAAAATCCCAAAGATCTGGGATCAGTTCTTTCCCTTTCACGGTGAAGTTAAACCGATGACACCTTTCCCAGAGGGTAGCTTCGAAGAAAGCCTCATCTCTGTTCATGGAAGAGGGGGACTTTGTCCTCTGTTAAAAGTCATAGGCATTTGTGTGCCAGGCACTCTGGTAGATTCTAGGAATACAATAAATCGGCTCCTACCCTCAAGTAGCTTATATTCTGTTGCAGGCATATAATACATCCACAGATAAGAAAATACACCTAGGAGAGCAGGGAGAAGTAGAATGATTGGAGATGATGGTGACCATGGAGAACAGGTTAAGGAGGGGTGACAGACAGAAGAACTAAAGGTTATGGTCAAATTGAGGAATATCTGCAACAAAGAGATTTGGACCTCACCAGGCTAGAGGGTGACCTTGAACTCACACCAAAGAGGTAGGCCCATCTGCTTAGTCAATGTGTAAGGCCACCCCTAGTCTCAGGTACAAGCAACCGAGAACAGAGGATCTTTTTTTGCCATAGTCCAGCTGGGCCATGACTGAGTCCCTGGCCCAGATGGGTGTCCCCACTCCACTCCTTGACCTCTCTGTCCATAAGCAGCATGGCTAGAGTCAGAGACACATGCTTATGGGCAGCTAGGTGGCACAGTGGATAGAGCACCGGCCCTGAAGTCAGGAGGACCTGAGTTCAAATCCAGCCTCAGACCAAATACTTGACACTTACTAGCTGTGTGACCCTGGACAAGTCACTTAGCCCCAACTGCCTAAAAAATAAAGAGAGAGAGAGACAGAGAGAGAGAGAGAGAGAGAGAGAGAGAGAGGGAGAGAGATGCTTTACTTCCCTTTCCCCTGAACAGTTTGATTTGGCTCTTTGTACCCCACTGCCTCTTCTTCCTCCTCCCCCCCTTATCCAATTCCTGCCCCATCTTTCAAGTCCCCACTCAAGCCCAGCCTCCTTCAGGAAGCCTACCCTGAGGCCTCCAACCTTCACTCCTCTTTCTCTTCTCAACCCTTGCCGTGAGTACTTCGTGTACTTATAGTCTAATACTCCAGAGTGGCTCATATCTCTATAGCACTTGAAGGTTCACAAAGTATTTTCTTGACAATAGCCTTGTGAGATAGAAAGAGCAAGTGATATGATCCTCTCCATTTTATAGACAAGGAAAATGACACTCAGAGATAAAGTGATTTCCCCAGGGGAATCACACAGTCAGGAAGTGATAGAGCCAGGATTTACTTCTGGGGGTTTCTTGATCATAGATACACAGATTTAGGATTGGAAGGGACCCTAGTATCACCTGGTTCTCTTTACAGATGAGGAAAACTGAGGCCCAGTGAGCTTAAGCAACTAACACATGGTAGTGGGCTAGTCGCAGATGGTTAAGAGAGTCGGTAGCAACTATAAATATTTTAGGACATATAGGTTATTTCCCTTTTTGAAATTTTTATTTTGTTTTTTGGCAATTGGGGTTAAGTGACTTGCCCAGGGTCACACAGCTAAGAAGTGTTAAGTGTTTGGTCTGAGGCTGGATTTGAACTCAGGTCCTCCTGACTTCAGGGCCAGTGCTCTATCCACTGTGCCACCTAGCTGCCCCTATTTCCCTTTTTATAAAAAAAAAATCTATTTGGGATACAGTTCTGGTGGTGACATTGCTTTGTCAAAGGATATGCACAGTTTTATAGCCTTTTGGGCATAGTTCCGTATTGCTCTCCCAATTTTCCCACATTCCCTTGAACATTTGTCATTTTCCTTTTCTCTCATGGGAGCCAATCTGATAGGTGTGCGGGTGTTTTAATTTTCATTTCTCTAATAAATAGTGCTTTAGATCATTTTTTCATAATAAAAAAAAAAAGATAGTCAGTAGCAGAGCCAAGATTTGAACCAGCGTTCTCTGACTTCAAATTCATCCCTCTTTGGGAATCAAAAGACTTAAAAAAACAAACAGACCCTGGATTTGAGTCTTGCCTTGAGCTCAGTAAAGTGAGATATAAAGTGTTTTTCTCTCTAATGAATGTGTAAATTTTTTTCCTGAAATTGTCTTATTTAGAATGTTTCTCTGACATGGATTTTTGAGTGCCTTTTTTCCCATGAGGCCAGGGATGATATCACATATGACTTCCCAGTTCCTGTGCGTCTCCCGGAAGAATGTAATTTTTTTTGAGGGTCAAGACCATTTTGTTTCTCCATCTGTATCCCCAGTGCCCACCAGGGGTGGGGAACCTGCAAATTGAGGCCACATGTGGCTCTCTAGGTCCTCAAGTGCAGCCCTTCACAAGTTTGGAGTCAGACAAAGGGCTGCACTTGAGGACCTAGAGGGTCACATGTGGCCTCGAGGCCTCAGGTTCCTCACCCTGCCTAGCCCTTAGTAAGGACTTAATAAATGTTTATTGAATTTAATTAAATAGGCACTTGATTAATGTTTGTTGTCGGTGATGGGATGTAATATCCAGTCTCTTCTCTCAAGAAACTAACAATTTCTTTGAAGAGAGAATTTGTGTACACCAATACCATATTTTGTCTTTTTTAATAATTAAGTGCCAAGACAAGTTGTAGAGAGGAGACAGAATGGACTGGTGTGGTTAGGAGAGGGCTTCTCGAAGAGGTAGGACTTGAGCTCAGCCCCCTGCGAATAGATTGAATTTCATTAGGAAGAGATGGGAGTAGGAAAGGAATTCTAGGTATGGAGAATGGTGTAAGCAAAGCAGGGGAAGAGGGAATGAAAGCTTGATGTCTCATATAAACAGCACATGACTAGTCTTGATGGAACAGAGGGTTTGTGCAGAAAAGTACTTAGGACATAAGGCCAAAAGGCTGGATCCAGATTGTGAAAAACCATTTATGGCATGTTAAACAACTCAGATTTTATCCCAAAGGCAATGAGGAGCCGTTAAAAGGTTTTGAACCAAATCAAAGTGGTGATTTAAACTGGACAGCAGTGCTGAGAATGGACAAGGTAGAGATTGGAGACAGGGGCTCCTGTTAGAAGGCTTTGGTGGTAGTCCAAGAATATGAGGATGAAAGTGGTAGCAGAGGGAATAAACAGAAGAAACCAAGGAAACTGAGATTGTAGGAAATGGATACATGAGGGGAGAATCATCTGTGCTTAGTGACACACACGAGGGAGGGGATAAAGGAGAGAGGAAGGTCAAAGATGACCACCTAGATAGCTAAGAGAGTGGGAGTACCATTTATAAATAACAAGGAAAGCAACAGGGACATGTTTGGAGGGAAGATCAAAGGCTCATAGAGTTGGGGGGAGGGCAAACCTCCCCACAATACGTCATGACGTGGCGATAGGGACACTTAAATGTCAGGTGTGATCCCAGGGGTGGAGTTTTGCTTGATCTCATCTAAGAGGGAGATAAACCTTCAACAGCAAAGCCAAGTGAGGGTTGACCTCTGCTCTATTTAGGAACATAATAAATATTGCAGCATTAGAGGACGCAAAATTTGCCTGTTTTTCATGGCAGGTGAATCATTAACAACTGTGTTCAGGCCCTAACCTGACTTCTAAGGAAATTGTAGTGATCATGAGGAAAAAAAATCACCTTGAGAAAATCTGGAAGCAATCCCATAGTGGCAATTAACCTTATCAGGGTATGTGCCATATATACAGCTCAGAAACTTGAGATAAGTTGGGAAAGCTTGAGATGTTTTCTTTTAAAGAAATATTAATAATGCTTTATCATCACTTTATTATATCCAGGCATGACCAACACCCACCCTGATTCACTGATAAAGTATAGCAAGAAATTGGCATGCAATCACAATTAGCAAGGTACTTGAGTTTACTCAGCCAATTCTCCATTTTGTACTGCTCTTCAAGGCCCAACCCAAACTCCTACCTCTTTGGTGAAGCCTTCACTGACCACCCTACCTCTCCCCCTTTTGATTCTTCCAATGCCTAGCTGTTTGACCTGGTGCTGTGGTGTAGTGGGAGGAGACTGCAGTAAGAAGATCTGGGCTTGAGGGTTGGCCCTAATTACGAATCACATGTCATCAGCAAATCACTTAACTTTGCTGGGTCTTGGCTTTCTGAGCCAATATGGTTAGGGTAGAAAGAGTCTTGGACTTGGAATTGGGGGAGACCTGGGTTCTGAAACTGCCTCCAATATTTACTTTGTGACCATGGGCGAGTCAACTTAACCTGTTTTAGTCTTAGTTTACTCATCTGTAAAACAATAATAGCTGACATTTATATAGTGCTTATTACATGCCAGATACTATGCTAAGTTCTTTAACAAAATACTAACTCATTTGATCCTCACAACAATCCTGAGAAGAGGTGCTATTATTATCCTCATTTTGCAAATGAGGAAACCAAGGCAGAGAGAGGTTAACAGAATTACCCAGGGTCGCACATCTAGTAAGCATCTGAGGCTGGATTTGAACTAAGGTCTTCATAACTCCAGTCCCAACAATCTATCCACTGTGCCACTTAGCTGGGGATGAAAATCCTAATGCTTTACTTCACAGGGTTGTTGTGAAGATCCAATGAAATTACAGGATGACCGAAACATAGATTTAGAGCTAGAAGGGATATTGAAGAACCAGAATCTAAGTGCCATATAAATTTGAGCTAATATTCTTATTTTGTGTTCTGAAAAATGAAGATAATAATACTTATTCTCCCTACTTCACAGGGTTGTTGTAACACAGGTGCTTGAACCATAAATCTCTATAGAAACACAAACTTAGGGGCAGCCAGGTGGTGGAGTAGATAGAGCTCCAGCTGTGGAGTCAGGAGGACCTGAGGTCAAATCGGGCCTCAGACACTTGACACTTACAGCTGTGTGACCCTGGGCAAGTCACTTAACCCCATTGCCTAGCAAAAAAAAAGAAAAGAAAAGAAATATGAACTTATCATCATCATCATCATCATCATCAAACACTCCCTTGCAGCCTTATTCCACCTTGGGGTGTGTGCACTATAAAGAGCTCCGGATTTTTCACCAAATGGCCCGAGTTTGAGTCTTGGACATGCCCCTTACTAAATATATGACCATGGGCAAGTTACCTTTCTTGGCCTATTCTACAAAATGAAAGGGCTGGACCTCCAAGGTACCTTCCCATGCTACCTCTGTGACCCTCTCTCTCAAGTCATACAATGAAATCACAGAATGTTTTTTTTTCTTTTTGGTGAGGCAATTGGGATTAAGTGACTTGCCCAGGATCACACAGTTAGTAAGTGTCAAGTGTCTGAGGTCAGATTTGACCTCAGGTTCTCCTGACTCCAAGGCCACAGCTCTATCCACTGCACCACCTAGCTGCCCCAAAATCGTAGAATTTTAAAGCTCGTGAAAGGGAGTTCAGTGATCACTTAATCTGAATTTCCTTTTTGAAAAATGAGGAAACTGAGACCAGGAGAAGAGAAGTCACTTGTCTAAGGTCTCCCCAACCAGCCTGTCATCTCCTTTGGAGCGGGTACCTTTTCTTGTATTTTTTTGTATCCCTTCCAGAGCCTGTCTCGATGTCAGTACATGGTCACTACTCAATGGATCAGTTGGTTGGGTCAGTTGGTTATCTGTTTAGTGAATTCAATCAGCAGCTGGTCAGATGTCATGGATCAGGAATGATTTGACATGATCCCAGCTTATGCTCCATTGACTGTGTGTATCTCCTTTTCAAAGCTGTGCAGAATGAGCGAGATCGGATAAGTATTCGCAGGAACAGCTATGAAGACAGTGGGTCCCTCTCAATCGCCATCCTGACTCAAGCAGAAGTGATGGCAACCCAGGTAGGAGAATACTCTTATTATCATCTCTTCTCAGTCTTGGATTTCAAATTTGGTAGCTATTAAAGTGGAGGAGAGAGAAAAGGAGAAAGAAGAGGAAGAGTAGGAAGAGGAGGAAAAGGAAGGAGGGAAAAAGAAGGAGGGAGAGGAAGAGGAAGGAAGGAGGAAGAGGAGGAGGAGGAGGAGAAAAAAGAAGGAACTGCCTATTCTCTTAGATACTGGATTCTGAGGTTCTAAGGCTTTTCTAGATATCTCTAAAGAAAGGGTACCAATGTCATAGCCTCTATTTACCGTCTATCCTGGACTCTTCATTGAGTCTGGGGCTACAGAAGGTGGAGAGTCCCCTCCAAGACTGTGAGTACCAGATGTTGCCTCACACTTTTCATTTCAAGACAGATGATGAACTTGCCTTCTGAGGAAAAGTCCTCATAGGACACACAGGAGAGGTATTTGCAGAGGTACCCTGTAGCCAATTCAAACTGGCTTTTGAGAGTGGGTTGTTAAATTTTCGGTGTGAGCATTTGCACCTTGGAAATTGGCAAACCCCTAAATCGGGGTCCAATTTATTGTTTTGTTGATTGTTTAGATTTCAGAAAGTAATGGAGAAAAATAATAATGTAGATTAAACTTTAAAATGTGTCATATACACTTCTTTTCAGAGAGTTGGTTGTTAAACATTTACTAGCACCCCCCTGGGAATTTTCCTGCATCCTCCTCCATTTCATAGGCAGCTACCTTCTCTGTTCTTCAGCTCAGTTTCCATAGCAACTCCTCACATTTTGAATGGGTCTTATTTTTTTTTGTAAGACACTTTCACATCTGAGACCTCTTCTGAGCCTCACAAGAACAGTGAGAGGGTAAGGATTATAATCCTCACTTTTCTCATTCTTATAACTAACATTTACATGGCACTTTGGGAACCCAAGATCTGTTTGGAAATGATGGGATCAGAGAATGTCCTATGAGGAAAGGACCTCATAGACCATCTACTCCAACCCATACTCAAATTAGAAACCCCCCTTCAACATTTCTGACACGTTTGCTTGAAGCCATTGACTATCTCTTAAGGAAGCCCATTCCGCTTTGGATAGCTCTAATGGTACAGATAGTTTCTGTACATTAAGCAGAAACAAAACTACAATTTCCACCCACTGCTCCTACTTCTAAGTGCAATCCTGTATTCATATGATCATCCTTCAAACAGTTGAAGACAATCATGTCCAGGTGCCCCATCCCCCTTTTCTTCTCCAGGCTAAATACCCCAGGTCTTTCAACAATCCCTAATATGGCCTGATCTCACTGCCCTTTACCAACTTGGTTGTGCCCTTTCTGAATGCTTTCTAGAGCTAATCTTCTTCCTAAAGTGTAGTCCCCAGAATTAAAAACAATAATGCAGATGTGATCTGGCTGGAGCAGATTTCAACATCACCATCGCCTCCCTTGGCCTGGACACTGTCTCTATTCAAGCAGCCCAATACCCCATTAGCTATTTAGGCTCCCATAGCCCACTATTGATTATTATTGAGCTCAAAGTCTCCTGATCCCTCTTGAGTTGTTTTTTTTTTCAGACAAACTGCTGTCTCACTGTCTCCCCCACCTTTTACTGGTGCAGTTGATTTTTTGGACCCAAACATGTGACTTTGCATTGATCCCTATAACATTTACTTACAGACCATCTTACACTTACACTTACAGACCATGTAGTCAAATGCCCACATTTTACAGAGGAGAAAGCTACCCTCTGAAGAAGTGAAATGATTTTCCTGAGACCACAAGGGTATCAGAATCAAGTTCAGGACTTTTTTTAATTCATCATACTTTCAAGTTTAGAAAATGCTTTATGTAGGTTGCTTCGTGCGATTTATTAATGAAGTTTGGGGATCAGGGAGACAACTAAGGAATCATAAAATGATTCAAAAGGATCGTAGAATTTTAGGGCTAGATAGTGTGAACCACCACATGAAAATCACAGCTGTAGAGAGTGACTCTGGTGAAGCTTATGAATAGCCCAGCTCATTTCAAATCTGTCACCAGTGTCCTCTCTCCCAGTCCCCAGCCACACAGCAACACAGAAGAGAAGCCAGAGAAAGTCTGCCTCCCACCAAAATCATCAGAGCCACCCATGATGAAGTTGGGATGGGAGAGAAGGGAAGGAGAGGACAAGGCAATCAGCCCCCTGGAGAGGGAACCCAGTTTTGTAGCAACCTGGCCAGCATCTGGAGCTGCTCCCCATAGTTACCTCCACCAGCACAGAGGCATAATGTGTGGTCCTCTGGTCCTCTTGCTACCCACCATCCCTCCCCACATGCCCCAGGGAGGTGTGCAAAGTGACCAAAACAGGCAGGGGAGCCCAGACATGGCTGATCCCTGCCCCTCCATGAATAGAGAATCCTGTCTAAGGCAGCTGTCGAAAAAAATAAAAAATAAAAACCAGGCCGTCTGGCAGTTGCTGACTAGCTTGGTCTCTTTCCTGAAACCACCATCAATCTCAGCTCGAATGTCATTTTTTTTCCTGAGCTGATCCCCAGGGGGATAGATTCGGCAGAGTCTTTTCCCATCTTGATCATGGGTGTCAACTTGACTAGCCACACAGGCGTGTTGTTCCTTGTTTCTGGAGTTGTTCCACTGAGGCTGGGTTGGGGGAGGTGGAGGTAGGGGATGGAGATTTGTAAACTGCTCCACACCATTTGGATGGAAGGAGGGAGGAAGAAGCTGCTGGACCTTGCCAAGGACAGGCTCTTACCAATAAATCGCTCAGTAGTCGCCGTTGTGAAATGGGGACAGCGGGTGCCAGGGCACCAAATCGCCAAGGTCACCACCAACCAAAGGCATTTTTTTGGAAGTCACAGTGTAACCAGAGACCAAAAACACATGGAATTTCACATTTCCAATAAATCTGTCGATGCTGCTTCAGAGAAAATGGCCTGTGGCCTCCAAGCTAAACAGCCAAGTGGGAAGTGAATAAGCCAGCACAGTCTAATGGAGAGAACACATGGGACCAGGAGGGAAAAGGCCTGGGTTCCAGTCCTAAATTAAACTGGGTGACCATAAGGAAGTGATTTTTCCTCTTTCTGGGCCTCAGTTTTCTCCTCCATAAAATGGGAACTGAGTTCTAGTCCTAAATTAAGCTGGGTAACCATAGGGAAATGATTTTTTTTTTCCATCTCTGGGCCTGTTTTCTTCTTTATAAAATTAGGGCTTTATCTTATAGGGCTAATGGACAGGGGGAAAGAGAAAAAGGAAGTAAAGACATTCCACACACACACACACACACACACACACACACACACACACACACATTACAAAGGTAATAGACCCAAAGGGTATCTCTTTCCAAATCCATTTATCTATCAATCATGGGGTAAGAATATTTTCTGGGAAAAGGCTTGTAAATATTTGTACTCCTATGACTGACCTAGAAGGAAGTGACTGGCTTTATTTTTATTTTTTTTAATTAGATTTAGAAAAAAAAAACAATAAAAACCAAGCCCAACTTAACTATCCACATGAAAACAGTAATGATCAAAACAAAGCAGATGTCAGCCCTCCCAGTACATCTTGGATCCCGTCCCTTTACTGGGCAGTGTTGAATAGTGGCAAGAGGGCCAGACCCTGCGTTCCAATCAGAGCTCTGTTATTTACTAACCCTGTGGGAGGAATGAGCATCGGCCATAGAATCTGAGGGCTTGGGTTCAAATTTGACCTCTGACAGATGACAGGTATGACTTCGGCAAATCATAGCCTCCTTGTAGCCTCAGTTTCCTCAACTGTAAAATGTGGGAGTTGGTTAGATGTCCTTGGAAGAGCTTTGACCAAGAAGAGCCAAGACATTCATCTAACCCCTCCTCGTGCCAATTTCTTCCTCTATAAAATGAAAAAATCGTCTCGGTTGTACTGACCACAGTGGATTGTTGTGTGTAAAGCCTTGTGCAAGTCTTAACTGCTGCAGAAGTGGGAGGCGGGGTTATTCTTGCCTTCCTCTCCTGAAAACTCAGCCCTCCAGAATATTCAGAGAATGTTCTAGGCGGCTCAGCTTTTATAGACTCATAAAATGACAGAGCTAGAAAGGCCCCTTAGAAAAGAGAAAGTCAGAACTGGGCAGGCCCCTAGAGATCCTCAGAGAAGGGAATTGATTTACCCAAAATCACAAAGGTAACAAACAACAACGTTGAAGTTTAAACCGAGGCGGTTTGAATTCCAGTCTTTCTGTCTATCACTGGACACTGATGTCAGTGTCTTCACCTCTATGCTCCCTCCCTTTTCTGATTTGTCTTTTCCAATTTATTGTTGGTTGGGAAACCAGATAACCAAGTTTGTCTCAACTATGTGTAAACTAAGACTTAATAGGCTCTCAGTGGGGCTGGTAGAGTTTTCCTGTAAAGCGAAAGGCATGAGCCTGGAAGTGAGTGCTTTATGACAACCACTCTGGTTGCTCAAAGGTCTTTTTGTTTCCCTCCTCATTCTCAACTCACTTTTGCCAAACACCTCTGCTTTTTAGATAACTGAGGCATCGCCATGCCTGACATACCTTTTAACCTCTCTCTCTCTCTCTCTCTCTCTCTCTCCTTCTCTCCCTTTCCTTTGGGGAGCAAAACTTCTGGAAAGGTGTTGCTGGATGCAAGGGAGTAGAGAAATTAATGGGGCTCACCAGCCTGGTTGCCCTGATTCCTGCCCAGAGAACTAACATGATGAAAGTTGGCAAATACCTCCCATGGCCAAGGCTGTTCGTCATCCAGGAGGCCACGCCGAAGGGACTGGCAGTGTTATCCCTCCTCAAGTAAACAATGAGCTATCACATGGAAAGAGGGATTCAACTTATTCTGCTTGGCCCTAGCCAGCAGAACTTAGGACAACTGGGGAAAGTTGCATAGAGGCCAGCCAAGGCTCGAAGTAAGGATAAACAACGGGAGATGCCCCAGATGATAGTAAGATAATAAGTTTCCTATCACCGAAGGTATTGAAGTGGAGAATAGTTGACCTTTCATCGGTTACACAGAGCATTG